CTGAGTCATATCTGCAGCTGGACCACGTTAAAGCATCACTGTTATATCAACTTTTCTTTTTTTCTCTCAGTATCTGTGAAAGAGCAAAAAATGCAGTCGGATACAAAGGAGGGGCCCGAGGTGTATTTGCACTGCTAAAACAAACTAACACCTTGTAACTTTAGTTCAGGATTCATCCAGAGAAGATTTAAACACAATAATTCAACCTGTACACCTGGAATCTGTGTGGAACAGCTGACATGTCTGGTGTGTAGAACTGACTGAATATTCATGATCTTCACATTTTAATGAAGTTACCGCTGCTGTGCCACGTGCGTAAATGCGCACAAAGAAGCACTCTGGTTTTTGCTGCCGTGCGATGCTGCAGGTGTTTACTGAAGTCAGAGGAAAGAGTCTGCAGGTGTAACAATGTTTCTGTAAAATCCAGAATTACAGCCAATGAAACCTGCTCATTATTGTTTATGGCATCAATCTAACACATTATTATCTGTATTCTGAACAAACGTCTCACTGTGTCGTGCCACGTGCGTAAATGCGCGTAAATGCGCTACTGTGTGAAGCTGCAGGTGTTTATTAACGTCAGACGAAAGAATCAGAATCACAGCAGCTGTGGGAACAAAACAGGACTGCAGCAGGTGTAGTAATGCTTCCAGAAAATCCAGAATTAAATTCAGTGAAACCTGTACACTATTGTTTACGGTATCAATCTAACACGCCTCAGATCTGAGTCACAATATCTGTATTCTGAACAAACGTCTCAGTGTTGTGGAATAAACACCTGTAGGTGGCGCCACCTGGACACAACGGAGGCCTGATCTACCCTGACTGGCTGTCCTGGATGATGGAGTGTGATGCTGAAAGAAACAGTTCAGGAAACATCACTGATGATGTGTTCAGGTGCATCAACATGACGCACTGCTTGCTAAAGAAAGTGCAGTAAAGTAGTGTATGATAGGAAGGGGAAATAAAACAGGCAAAATATATGGTTGTTGGTTTGTGCGTTTAGTCTCTGCACAGTCTCTTTAACTCTGCTACTTGTAATACATCCTGAGACTGAATGTGTCCTGAAATGTGTCACTAAATATTCTCCTTCTGATGCTACACTATAAGTTTCACGTTGTTACATAAGTAAAGCTCATTTATTTATTTATTTTTTAATTCCAAACCAGCTCATTAACTCCTGTTGCTCTCTGCTCTACCTGCTTCATTCTGGAATCTAAATATTCTCAGTGATGATGCGCTTTCATGTGCGGCTCTTTCCGTCTGTAAATTGCACAAACAGCACAAGTGCAGACTGAACCACAGCCGCTCTCATTTTCTCATCAGTCAGTCTTGAAAAATTAAGGTCACAAAATATTTAAAATTGGGCTCCTATCCACACCCACTTCAACACCACCACCACTACTGGGCCTTGGGATCTTCTGTGCCCATTGATGCCCCCAACGTAGGACCTGAGCATGAGAATACAGACTGTTAAAAAAAAAGTAGATTTAGTGTCAAATGACTTTAAACTGCCGCTATAGCTCACCTGGTTGAGCTGGCATCCCCCCGTATTGGGCTACAGTCCAGAGGTGGAGGTCGTGAGTTCGGCTGATGATATTTAGGCTGCAAGGTGACGCAGTTGGTAGCACTGTTGCCTCGCAGCAAGAAGGTTAGTATATGCAGATAGTTAGCATGTGCCAGATGTACTGTTCCTCTTGTTGGAACGATGTTGAGTTGGTTGATCCAAGCCTCTCTCTGTGTGCCAGCCCTTAACCATGAGGAGGTATTTTCTGAATTTGACAAAAGTGCACTGTAACAAATTTTCCTGTACAAAAAAACAAACTGGTGAACAACTGGCAGCAGGGTTGCCATTATGTTACTGTAAAATTAACATTTTTTTAATGTCACTAAACTGTACAGTTCTGTACTGTTCAAAATACAATGTGAACTGGGTTTTTTTATTTATTACTTTCACACTGCTTTACAATTAGCTGACTATTTGGTTTGTATTGTGTACACAGATTTTATTCAACTTTTTTTTTTTTTTTTTAAATTAAATAATACATTTGTTAAGGATAAAGGCTACAATATACCTAACTGGTAACTAAACAAAAAACATATAACATGTACCATATACCATAACAACATAGTTAAAACACTGGTTTTTCAATCATCTGACTACATTGTGAGAGAAAAAAAAGTCAGTTTCTTATTGCACTTTACTTTTTATTTTAAAAGAGAGTTGGAAACTTCACATGCAGAACAATTGTAGTTCCGACAAAAACCTAAGACAAAGTCTTCTCTCTTAAAATGCCAAAAATAAAAGTAAATGGTACTCCAAAATATCTAAGTCACAAGCGATATCAATCACCTTTTCTGACAAACAATATAGAGAAAGATATAAAACCTTCTTTAGACAACTGAACTAGGTGACCAGAACAGAACATATAAACGAATGGTTTGCTTTTAAGCAGCTTTTAACCAGGGGACTGTTGATCAGAGCAGGAGTAGAATAACAGCCAGATACTATTAGTGTAAAAGATTACATTATCATGATCGCCTTTTGAGCAAAATTTGAATGACCTATTTGAATATGATCCAATTTTGATTCACAATTCAAGTTGAGACAGCAAAGAGTACTTTTCAAAGGTTATAGCATTTTAAATCTGGCAAACCTACTAACCTTGCTTTGTGGAGTATCCACAGTAACAGACAGTTGAGCTACAACAAAGCTCTTTTTGAAAACTCAGTTTTGCTGTGTATCATGTAATACTTGAATACAAGTATATTATCCGGCCTCAAGGCTTATCAGTGGTACAAAAAAAAAAAAAAGAAACATTAAGACATTAAACTCTGTTCTTGCCAAGAAACAAACTAATTCTTGACTTCCTTCACAGAGCTCCGGAACGAACTACCTAATTAACTAATGCAATATTTTAGTTATTTAGTCAAAAAATAAATGGAGGCCATAAAACAGAATGGCCAACTCACTGGGCCAAACTCAATAAGCAGTGAAAACACTGAGCAAATACACAATAAATAGTCAAATTCCCTGAATGAGATCCTTGAAAATGCTACTGTGAGCATCAGAATCACTGACCTCATCCACAATAAAAGCCACAGGGCACTTCCCTGCCCTCTGACCTCCGCTAACAAACCGTAGTGAGGTCAGTTCCTGATGACCAAAAACACACAAGGTATTTGCTAACCAACAGAATGGAGTCGGCTAAGTAGACTAAACCACTAATGGGATTACAGGACTATTTATAGGCTCAGGAGTGGAGGTCTGCTGCAGAGGGAGCTAAACATACAAACACACAGACCTCTATGTATCCAATTAAGTAATTTTGCTGATATTTCACCTTTTTTGTTATTGTCAACAAATGATGTATCTTATTCCTCTGGGCCACAGAGCTCCAGCGTTGTCTGCACATTAATAAAAACACATCAGTGAGCCACACGGTTGGATCAGAGGACATGTTCTCTCATTACCGTGACCACACATTGTAGTTTAATTTGGCTCCGTCCCATTTACTACATCCCGTTGTTGGGAATACTTACTACAGATGGACACTGTGACCCAGCACCCACATAAAGTGCCCATGACGTTGACCCGGACTCCTAAATCCTGAGATCGTGCATCAATGGGATGTGCTGGAACAAACCCGAACCACTGAGGCCCCACCCAACAGGACCCAACAGACCGTTCCAGACTTCCAAGGACACCCACAGCGGTCCTGTGCCCATGTACCACATGGGTCAAAGCTGTTAAAGCAACACTTAGGAGACCTTCAAAATATAAACCAGGCGATTTTAACATTGTGGCTGATCGATGTATGTCAAGAAAAACGTAGAAAATTTGCAAAAATGCTGTTAAATGTTATATTGATTTAAAAAAAAATAAAAATTAAAAAAAAAAAAAGAAAGGTGAGCTTTTACGGGATTGAATTTCCCTTCTGGGATGAATAAAGTATTTTTCATTTCATTCATTAAAATATTTGTGTTTAACCCTCTAAACCCTGAAACCCGCTGGCAGGTTTAAAAGGCATCCTGAAATAACTACATCAAAAATTGGCCCAAATTCCCACATATCAGAGCAAGAAACTGCAAAAACAGTCACTGCTTCCCAACAGAGCTGATCATGTGTGACATGTGGAGCAGTCAGGAAAATTAACTTGACCTAAGCTTAAAACTGTGTATTTTATTGACAT